TATGATATAAATAAAAAAAAATATATATATATGTTATATATATATATATATATATATATATATATATATATATCATAGTTTTTACAAAAATCGAACACTGTTTTCAACACTGATAATAATAATAATGTTTCTTGAGCAGCAAATCAGCATATTAGAATGATTTCTGAATAGTCATGTGACACTGAAGACTGGAGTAATGATGCAGAAAATTAATCTTCGCCATCACAGGAATAAATTATAAAATAAAATAGAATAAAATAAAATAAAATGAACAGTTATTCTAAATGCTAATATTATTCACAATATTACGGTTTTACTGTATTTTTTCACCAAATAAAAAAATATTGCCATCTCTCTCTGTAATATAAATATTTCTTTATTTTGGAACTGTATCTTTATTATCTTCTTATTATATCTGCATTACACTGCATGATTAGTTGCAGTTTATTATTTGCATTTAACTTTTGCATTTATTTTTTTCCCTCCAATCCAGATCAATACAGACCTGAGACCATTTTGGGGAAGCCTCCCTACCAGTTAAGAACCACTATGCTCACATTTATCACACTCTCACAGATTATAAGACGGCATTCGGTCAAAATGTTGGTGTTCTAAGATAGCAGAGCTGAACTCACAGGCGATGCGCACATATGCCTTTTGGCTCTTCTGGGTTCCTGTAGTGCTCCAGGCCACACACTGACACCAGTAATCGTCCAGACCGAAGATCTTCTCCACCTGCTGTCTGGAGATGTCAATCTTCACCTGCATCACCGGCAGTCCTGGGACCAAACCAGACAAAGCAAACATGTTCAGCTCAGCATCACTGACAGACAGAGAGAGGCATTCAGAAACAGTCCTTCAACTGAAGCGAACTGAGGCCAGGCCCTTGTAAAAACTGTTTAATTGTGTCAAACTTACGGTTAATGTGTGGCAAATTAGTTGGCAAAAATTAGCAGCTCTTTACTGGCAGTGGTGCATCAAAACTTTGGCAACAATGCAAAATTTATCACTGTCAAACTTTTCACAGACGTGGCAAACTGTCCACTGTTTCCAAAGGTTTTTTGCAGGTTCACCATGTCCAGTGAAGAGCTGCCAACCATTTGAGATGAGGGGAAACAAATGAGCAAACTAATTTTGTGCAGATAAACATTTTTGTTGCTTGGCTAATTCATGGAATACTGACAGATGATTGATGCAGGAAGTGTATGACATACGAAACCACCTCAAAATAGAAATTCCCAAACTCTAATACGCTTTCTGGGATGAATTAATAAATAAACAGATATTAATATTTATGTGAGCTTCCAGTGGGAGATATTTTTCCTGGTTACTCAATCTGTGCATTTCCATTCAGACATGAGTGGCTACGATTATCCCATCAAAGCTCAGAGGTCTTTTGTGAAAATAAAAATTAATAGAGGACAAGAAAAAAAAAGAGGGATGAAGTGATAATTTGTCAGCTGCAGCAGGGTGAATAATGTCTATACAACTGGTGTGAAGTCATCCAACAAAATGATTCATTTTCAGCTGACAATTACAAATGAACATAATCAGAGTTAACCAACACCAACAACACAAACGGTGTAATTCATAATAAAGCTCTCTTTGAGGATGAAGGCAGGGGGTTAGACAAAGATCATTTTTCTTTTCATTATCTCTGGACCATCTCCTCAACCCCTAAGCCTCTCTGATATTTTCCTCCATGGCTATCGCTCATCTCAACACGAAAGCGTGACCTTGAAGATGTCCACATCCCCCTCAACAACCACCTTCCTCCTAATTTCTCCCATAATCTCTCTCCCTCCAACCTTAATTATCTCTCCATCCAACCTTGTTCATCCCTTTTTCTCCCTTTCTCTCGTTTGGCTTGTAGGGCCCTATGAAATCAGTTGTATTTTTTTCCCCAAATTCCCTTTCATGTTTTTCCAAATTCAATTTTTTTCAGTTTGAATTTTTCTGGATTCAGTTTTCTGCATTTAAATTTTTTTCTAGACTCTGTTTTACTGGTTAAATTAAAGTTTATTAATTAAAAAGCATGTCTAATTAATTGAAATCACGAAACTTACACAATTTAACAGCAATCTATTAACAGTTCAACAAAAAATACATTTTTAAGGCCCTATGAAATACTTATTTCCCCCCTCACATTTAGTTTTTATTTTTAAATTCTGTGTTTTCCATAAATTTTTTGGATTCCATTTGAATGGTTTCATTAAATGTTAATAATCAAAAGCATCATGTGTTGTGTATTTAAATTCTTCTGGTAAATAAATACAGGTAAATAATTTTCTGGTAAATATTCCAGAAAAAAAAAATTATTTCTGGTAAATAAATAAAAAATGTTTCAGTAATAATTGTATTATTATTATAATTATTAGTATTATTATCAATACTAATGTATTGTAATGTATTTCTGTCACAGTTTCTTCAAGTTAAACCGAATCTTTATTTTGATGGGTTGTTGTGAAGACCTTTAAGTTTCTCTGTTTATATGATATAATGAGAGTTTTCTCAAAAGAAACAATAAAATGCTCATGAAGTGACTCTCAGAGCAGTTCTAGACATTATATTCATGTGTTCATGTACTTATATATATGTATATATATATATATATATATATTTGGCAATCACTTTAACATTGAAAACTTTGATTGCTTTGCTTCATATTTCTGGGCATTTCAAATCCTTTTATGTACCTCATACAGTACATTTTTTAATTGATTTTTGTGCATGATATGAACATTCTAAATAATTTTGGGGTACCATTCAAATGTTTAAATAGATTTTAGTACATCATGTGTGCCTTCAAATGCTCAAACAGATTTCTACCCATTTCAAATGTTTTCTGTGCTTGCGTTTGAACTCATAATTAGATTTTTTTTTTTTTTAATTAAACATTTAAATAATTTTAGCGTTAAGAAATTTTACATAACAGGAGAGATCAAATGTGCAAATCTATTTTCGTCCATATCTGGACATTCAACATTTTTCCACATGTTCTTTGGTAGTGAATCATAGGTAAATTTAAAAACATTCAAATCAATGTTTGGGTACAATTAAATGTTTGAATAGATTATTGGGCATCATTCCAACATTATAATTGTTTTTTGGGCATCATTTGAAAGCTTGAATATATTTTTAGAGCATTAGAGCTGCATTCAAATTGATTTTTGGACATCATTTCAATGTTCAAATATATATATATTTTTTTTGCATCAATGGAATTGACCAAAATATGGTGTCTACATACACCATCTACGTACACTAGGTTCTGAACTCATACTCAGACGCTCCGGCAATGTGACAGAAATGCATCATCTCAAATCCTGCTGGTCATTTGAGTTCTTGCTCCAACCTGTCTGTCACAAATCAATGTACATCACATCCATCACCACTTGGCAGAGAGTCTCTAGGAGGAAAGAAATAGGACAGCACAGAGAGCTTGTGTCTCACTATCTTGGCAGACATTAGGAGCACATGCAATTACTGTTAGATTTAAACCACCCTCCAGTGTTACCCAGGGCGTCAACATCAAAATGGACCTCTCAGACAATCTCGCTCTCCTCTGACACAACGTCTGGACTTTAATCCTCGCTGATGGCTCAAAACACTTTTGCAACGGGTCAGAAATATGAGATTCAATGCATAAATCTCTAATCCAGACAAAAATAAGTGCACTGAAAATAACACACTCTCAATTAATTGCTCCGCTCGCATTGCATTGAATTCAGATTGCGTAACCAATTCAAAATGAGCGGAAATAGTTATGATATTAGACAACTAAAAGGGGTGATTTTTTCAGAGAATGTAATTATCGTTCGCATTAAATCGTAAAATACAATTAAGGGAAACAGGCGTAGTCCTGAAATAGTCAGAGGAAAAAGCTATCTTAAACACTGATTGTTTTATTAATTGCTTTTTGTTTCTTTTAGCAGCAATTACCCGGATTTCTGACCTCATACTCCCTCTGCGCTTCACGGCTAACCGCTGAGGCCGCCACATTCAGTTTCATTCACTTTTGTGACTATGCCACATGGCCTGCACCGCTTCTCAGGCGTGAAAATTCACTTTTCCTGCATGACAGATTTAGCTGCATGATAGCTAGGATAATACTGTAATGCAGATTTGTATAATGAGTAATTAACTGAGTATGAAGTCTTTGACTAGGAACACCATTAAAATTTTCACCCCTTGAGCGAGGTCGCTGTGGCAACCCTACCTTTGGGGTCTGAAAGGTCACGTGGTTAAAGAATAATTGACTCTTAGACCGAGTGTCACACGTGAACACCCGCTTCCAATACTGTGAAACCCCCACAGACAGAGGAAATTATTCCAAAATGAACACACATTTATTAGACCCTCAAAGAAAAAAGGCCCTGTGTAGATGGGATCGTAATTCTGAGTTATTGCTTTACGCTTTTGTCGTGTTGTGCGTCTGCATACTCAATACATGCAGCACACCTTCAAAATTAATTGTTAAAAATTCATATCCCGTCCCATTTTTCTATGCTGACATCTAACAAATTATTAAATACAGACTTAAAAATTCAGAAAAAGAATAATAATGATGCTGCTTTCCATTCTGGGGTGAGCTGAACCGAGTGCATTTTTCATAACAGACCACAAGGTCAGCCAGTTCCCAGGCATTTCCCAGAATTCAATGCATGCATCATAAGGAATACTGAGAATGAAAAAACACAGAAATACTTTTTCCCCATTTTTTTTCTTTTTCATTTTAAACATGATACAGTGTTTTAAAAATGTAACACTCGGAGAGATTGTGCAAAAAAATTGTGAGACTATTATAGTGAAAACATCAGTCTTTAACTCATGAAGTTTTATTTTTTGTGAGCTAAACCTTTTACGCCAGGGCTCACTAGAGGGCTTTAGAAAACTTCCATGACTAAAAAGTAATTAATACAATATTTTAAAACAATCTAACTCTAAATTAAAATGCTAAAAATGTAAACTGAAATGTATTTCTCATATAATATTATATCATAATATAATAAAAAATAAATAATAAAATAAGTTTTTTATTAAAGAAGATTCTGTTCTTTAAACATAAAAAATATTCCTAGTACTCTGTACTCCTAGCTTCTGTTAATACAAAAAAATACTAAATAAAATAAAAATAATAAAATAAAATTAGGTAGCTAAAAAACATGATATACATTCCCCAACACTTATTGATGAAGGTGTCTGAATAAATTTTGGTTTGACTGTATCTATTTGATAAATGAAGTTAATCAACTAACAATATACATACGCTTTTGGTTTCTGTACCCAATATTTAAAAAATTGACAAATGCAATGAAATATTGGTATCGGTACTCGGTATCGGCAAGTACCAAAAATAAAAGTATCGGTATCGGGCGAGTACTGGAAAAAGTGGTATCGGTGCATCCCTACTTAATATAATTCTTACATAGTACCCATTCTGTATAGGGATAGTTCCCCAAAAAAAGAAAAAAGAAAAAAATTAATAACTGCCATCATTTATTAATGATTACAACTGTAAATCATTACAGAATTTTCATCATTTCAATCTTAAACTATCCTTTCAACTGTGCTATTTGTAGAAAGCCCAGAGTCTCACAGGAAAAACCATGGATGAGATGTTTCCTCCAAGGAACTAGCAGGGTCCTGGTCGGATTCGACGGTGCATTTACAGTAGAATCCAGGGATATGATAACATCCCGTTCTGACACACTACACCATAACTTTATCTCAGTCCCAGCGTGACTTTGCAGTGACTGCTCTATATATTATTGCAGCG